AATCATTCCCTATTTATCAGAAGTTTGTTATTGTTTCTCTTATTCTATTTGCATACATCCCCATTGCCCAACAACTAGAATTAAGCCTGTAAGTTTGTTGCTCTGCTGGGGTTTGATTGTTAGTTATTTTCTTGTCACTGAAACGTTGGTTATGCTATCAACCTTTGTGACCAATGTTTATTTGTGTTCTCAGATTTGACTGTAGTTAGCTAGTTTATTTTGAGATAATAAAATAATCCTTAAATTTCACTATTCCCTAAGAAGACCTATGCTGAATTTTCAAAGATATAACTATATCTTATGAAAACAGTATGTAAAATGTTGGTGTAATTTTTACTTTTGAACATCAGTTAGACATTATGACCTATATGAAAATGTATTTTATTTATTTATTTCAGGTTTTAGTGTATTTTGCCAAATCATGACATTCAATAAACAAAACATTTTGTATTATGCTTAAGCTTTGCACAAGGTAATTTTTTTTTTCTTTTCTGTTTGGAAATGATTAAATGGTATTTCTTTTAGGACATATCTTCATTTTTGTTAATTAAAAGATAGAGTAGAAACAAAGAGTTCCAAGTAACATGTTAAAAAAAACAAATCTCTTTTTTGAGTATCAGAGTGTTCCTAGGGAAAAAAAAGACAAGAAAATTAAACTACCTAGTAATTGTTCACTTTGTTTACTACAGTCCCTTACAAGAAAAGACTTCAAACTCTCTGGGAATGTTTGAATGATGCTCTTTCCTACAACAGCAATCCTTAAATAAATATGTAATCTAATTTAAAAGGCTAAAAGAAATAGAAAAGGGAGTATTTGTAAGTGTGAACTTTTATTCAGAACATCTTTGACTATCTCAGCTTAAGCTGAATCCTGCCCCTGTGTGTGTATATATGCGCATGCCATGTTGCTCCCACACTGAAATCATACATGCTTCTCATTATACTGCACACTCCATGGAAGCAGAGTTATGGCCGCATCTCAGAGCGTGGACACGGCCTGACGCACAGTCGGCAGCGAGTCCACGTGTGCGAATGTGAGAGAATTCTGGTTTGCCTCTTTGACTCTGCTCTTGCCTTCTCCAATTTCTTAGTTTTCCTTACTGGCTTAAGGTGTTTTTTTTTTTTTTTAATTAAAAAAATTTTTTTAAAATTCAGCTTTCCCCCCCTAATCTAAGTGATCATTTGGTATATAAATTAAATGATCACTGTGATAATTATTCAATGACTTAAAAAAAAAGTTTTTCTTGAGGTTTAAGTTACTAAAATAAGATGTGCTTATTTAAATAAAACCTATATGCTGCAATCTTGATATGTTTTTTATTTTTAAAATTAGCTTCTTGCTTTATCTTTTTTATTTAAAATGGACTTTGGTTAAAGAAATACATGTGCTGAGTTTAAAAATCAAATAAAACAGAAGGTTTATTGTAGTGAAAAATAGCAGATGTCTGCCTTGCACCTTCCCACTGTCCAGTCCAGCTATACAGAAGGAACACATTTCTGGTATTTATAACCATAATTATAAATGATATGCTTATTGACATTACTTGATTTATCTATTTTAAACATTAATTTTGGTTAATGAAAATGGAGAAATTAATGGGAGAGAATGGCATATCAATAAAAAAGTGAAATAAAAACTAAGCTGATATATGCTACAATAGAACTCTATATAAGTGTTTTGGGTCCATAAAAAACAGCTTGGCATTTTAGGTCTTCCAGACTCCTTTTAAGAATAGCTGTTCTTTAGCTTCCACCAGCAGTAAACAAGAGAGCTCATCTTTCTGTATTCTTGACAACACTGAGTAGAATCCACTACTCAGATTTATGCTATTCTGATGATGTAAGTGGTATATCATTTTAATTTGCATCTTCCTGATAAGTGATTTTGAGCATTTTAGACTATTTGAGAGCTGTTCTGGCTTCCCCTTCTAATAAGTCAGTGCCATTTCAAGTTTTTACTTAGTTTTCTATTAATTTCTTCTGAGTATTCTAATATTGATTCTTTGTTGGTGTTAGGTCTTCTCTCAGTTTATCTATGATGTCAGATGAAGCAGAGCTGGACCCTATTATCCGCCCCCCCCCCATATCTTCTGCCTGTTTTTTGTCTGTGGAAAACTTTCGTCAAAGAATAAGTTTAATCAGAAAAATGAGAACATGTGGAAACAAAGGAAAACAATCAAAGGAGACCAAATAACGTACTCGTTAAGTATAGTCAAGGACCTTTAATTCTTTCTACAGGGCTATAGATAACATTCTGAACCTTGTCCAATGAGCTATCTTATAGATACTAAAACACTAGGTGGAAGAAGTTAGCTGTATGATGACCAGACTGTTCCCATGACATGTGGTGCTAGTGGTTTAGTTGCTAAGTCATGTCTGACTCTGGCAATCCCATGGACTGCTGCCCACCAGGGTCCTCTATCCACAGGATTTCCCAGGCAAGAATACTGGAATGGGTTGCCATTTCTTTCTCCAACTCACAGCATAAGTTGACTACAGTTCCAAGAATTGATCACAAAGAAGTGGGAACAACTGGATCCTGGAATTGATAATTAACTGTATCTAAAACAATGAAGATGCCAGTAGTCAGACCGCTGATGACCAGTTTGAAGATGACTGTGAGATGACTGTGCTGTTTCTGCATCTAGTCTCCCTGCCACACTTCTGTCTGTAAAAGCTCTTGCCCCAGTGGTTGCCAGTGCAGGGGGAGCTGGCCTTTGGACAGACATCTGCCTCCCTCCCCAGTTGCCAGCATATGAGATAAAGCAAATTTTCCTTTCCACCAGCCTGACCAATTAATTGGATTTTTTTTTTTTTTTGTGGCCTATAGCAGGCAAGAAATGATTGGAGAAGAAAGATTAACATAAGTAAAGTCAAGGGTGGAGTGCGCTCCTATGCAAAATTTTGTCATTGAGAGAAATATGGAGAACAGAAGCAACAGAGAAAGAATGCTAAGAATAGGAGTTTGAATTACCTATATTTTTGTAACTTTGAGTTATATAATACTTAAGATTAACTAAAACAGTGGTTTCAAGTTATGCTTTGCAGTATATATATAAGCTTCCTAGAATACCCCCAGGGTAACTGGTGAAAGAATAGTGGTGGTACTGAGTATTTGAGATCCTGATTCAGTCAGAATGTTTCATTTTTATCTGCTTAATTAATTGACCTCTCACCAAGGTTCCATTGGAAGAAAGGATTTTTCAGCCAAAAGTGTTTGGAAATTATTTAAATAAAATTACTGCAATGCCTAAATGTTCAGTGAGCATGGTGTATGATGTCATTCATCATTTTCAGTGCCTGTGGAAACATTAATAATTGAACATGGTACTCTTTGCTGTTGCAGACGTAGGTTTAGTCTCCCTGCAGCTTTCTATGCGGTCCCTAGCAATCAGAGTTGCATGTTTCTTTCCCTTTCTCCCTTGCTTTTCACTTTTCTTTCTTCAGCTACTTGTAAAGCCTCCTCAGATAACCACTTTACCTTCTTGCTTTTCTTTTTCTTTAGGATAGTTTTGTTGGCAGCCTCCTGTACAACATTATGGACCTCCATCCATAGTTCTCCAGGCACAGTGTTGACTACATCTAATACCTTCAATCTATGTGTCACCTCCACTGCATATTCATAGGGGATTTGATTTAAGTTGTACCTGGCTGGTCTAGTGGTTTTCCCTGCTTTCTTTAGTTAAGCTTGAATTTTGCTATGAGAACCTGATGATCTGAGCCACAGTTAGCTCCAGGTCTTGTTTTTGTTGACTGTATACAGCTTCTCCATCTTCAATTACAAGAATGTAATCAATTTGATTTTGGTATTGACCATTTGGTGATGTCCATGTGTAAAGTCATCTCTTGTGTTGCTGAAAAAGGGTACTTGCTATGACCAGTACATTCTCCTGGCAGAATTCTGTTAGTCTTTGTGCTGCTTCATTTTGTTCTCCTAGGCCAAATGTGTCTGTTACTCCAGGTATCTCTTGACTTCCTGCTTTTGCATTCCAATCCCCAATGATGAATAGAACATCTTTTTTTGGTGTTCTAGAAAGTCTTCTAGGTCTTCGTAGAACTGATTAGCTTCTTCACTAACTGTGGTAGGGGCATAGACTTGAATTGCTCTAATATTGCATGGCTTGCCTTGGAAATGAACCAAGATCATTCTGTAATTTTTGAGGTTGCACCCAAGTACTGCGTTTCAGACTCTTTTGTTAGTTATGCGAGCTACTCCATTTCATCTATGGGATTCTGGCCCACAGTAGTAGATATATTAGTCATCTGAATTAAATTTGCCCATTCCTGTCAATTTTAGTTCACTGATTCCTAAGATATCAATGTTTATTCTCACCATCTCTTGCTTGACCACTCACAACTTACCTTGAATCATGGATCTAACATCCCAGGTTCCTATGCAGTACTGTTCTTATCATCAGATTTTACTTTCGTCACCAGACACATCCACAACTGAGCATCATTTCTGCTTTGGCTCAGCTACTTCATTCTGTCTGGAGCTATTAGTAGTTCTTCTCCAGTCTTCCCCAGTGGCTTCTCAGACACCTTCTGACCTGGGAGAAGAAATGCTTACTATTAGTTTGTTGATTGTGGAAAGACCTACAAAACTCATTAAGTGTGTGTTGAAGAGGCAATTGAAATCAGTCATGTTTTCAGTTGGGACCCTTGAGACATAAATAATTTTGTTCTTATAAATTGCAAAATTTAATCATCAAAAGTTTAAACCTGGAAAATCAGGATAAGAATGGGAAGTAAATTCTGTGTTTCTTGCAAGTGTGCTCAGTGCTATTGCTGTGGTCCTTACTTTGTACCAAACAGTGGCTTTAAAGTTTTCCAAAATGTAGGAAAGCAATTTTACACATGTTTGAAGATTCCCAAAGCAGTGAATGCTTTATACTTACCTTTAGGTTTAGTATGTTTTATGGTGAAATCATTGAACTAATTGGGACATAAATGAAAAATTAATTTTCAAAGCAGTGACAATTGTTTGTCTCTATTAACAGGGCTGCTCTAATGTGATACTGGAATTGAATTTACCTAGGGCTCCATATCAAGGTTGACTTGCAAGTCTTCTTGAAGATCTGGGAGAAATAGGTAAGTGGCCTTTTGGTGATAAGTCTCTTTCATTCATCGTGCTTATTTTTGTTTTTCTAAAGCTTATTTTGTCCTTTAAGTTTTTGGATAAGTATCTTTGCTCAAAGGTTTAAAAAAAGAAACAAACGATCAGTGAACCATAGAGACATATCATGCGTGGCAATAGGAGTTTTTACCACTGTTTCTTCTCTTGGGCTTTTTATTTCACTTCTTATTGTGCTCCTTCTTCCTTTTAAACCTGATCTCTTCTTCCTGATCTCACTTTGTCTTTTGAAAATTAACACAGATTTATGAAGAATGTGAATTTGATTTTGAAGTATTGAGAATAAATTATTAGATAAGAAAAGCACTTGAAGTATTTTCTGTCACCGTTATGCTGGCCTATTTATATTGATGTTTTCAATACTATTTTATTAAGATCCAGTTGATACTTAGGAGAATCTAGAAATGTCAGAAACTAAGAAGAATAGCATACTACTAATGACTTTTTCTTGAAAGTTTGATTTTTTTAAATAAACTTCTTGAGATCTAGCAAGTCAGCTATTTAGAAATCATTTATTTTTTTTAATATTATACTTCTTTCAATATAATGGTAGTTTTCCTTGATATTTACAGTGCCAGTTTAGAGAACTTGAACTCCATTGTTTGTTATGAAATAAGGACCACAGAGATAGTATGAATTGCAGTTCCAAGAGATGCAGATTTTATCTCCTACTCTTACTGTATAATGTCTCTGTGAAGTTAGTTTTCAGTGTCATTTCTTGATTATGGTATCAGTCAAGCAGTTATGTTATAGGGGGCCAAAGTTTTAATAATATAGTTACAAAAAGAAAACTTAAAAAAAAAAATTCTAGATGAGTTGTTTACATCATTTCCCTCTCTAGTCTTTACCCCCAAAGAAAGGGGAACCCTGATGCCCTGACTTCTTAAAATTACTATTTTTTCTTGCCCATGCCACATCAGAATTCTTTGTCAAGTGGGTTCACCAGAAATGTAGGATGGGTCTCAGGATCCTCGCTGTGATGCCTGAATTGCTGTAGCCATTTCTAAAACTTTATCTAGATAGATGCTCTGTATCTTCCCTGAGAGAATTTTGTCAATGTACTTGAATCATGTAGTCAGTTATTTCTCAGGTACTGTTTTGCCTATGGAATTTTTCTTGTTTTGTACCAACTTTATAATTCTGTCAGACATACAAGCAAAATCATTTCAGTTCAGTTGCTCAGTCCTGACTCTTTGCAACCCCATGGAGTGCAGCATGCCAGGCTTCCCTGTTAATCACCAACTCCCAGAGCTTGCTCAAACTCATGTCCATCAAGTCAGTGATGCCATCCAACCAATTCATCCTCTGTCATCCCATGGAAGTCCCACAAACAAGAAAAATGATTCCACATGTATTTAGCATTTAAAATTTTGGAAACATTTTGATAACTTTTTACTTCATTTTACTTTTTCATTGAACTCATTAATTTTACTGTTGCATTTTTTATGATGTAAGTAAGGTGGCCATTGTTATTCATTATTTAGTAAGTGGAGAAACTGAAAGTTTTGGCAAAGAATTTCAAGGACTTGGAAAAAATGGTGTAGCTTATTGTGATATTATAGCTAATAATAAATAATGATGTGTTATTAGAACTCAGATCTGCTTACATGCAATCTTTTTTTCTTCTGTTATTTATTCTTACTATGGATAATGGTTATGTTGATATATCCTGTCATTGTGAGACCTTTAATATTAAATTCTCATTTGTGGAGTAGTAATAGGACATTTGTTTTAATAATAGCAGGGAAATTTTAGATTTATAAGTAGGAGCTACCTGAGAGTGAACATCATGGAACCCTGAAAGAAATGACCTTTAGAAAATAGAGTCTTTTTCCCAGAAGGGTACATAATTGTGTATGTATTAAAATGCACAGCTATTTTCAAGAAATACTCATTTTCTTCTTTCCTTTCCACTCTTCTGTTCCTTTCCCTCCAGAAATCCCTTAAATGAATATTTGTTTTCAAACGATTATCCCCATTTTACCTCTCATAGAGGTTTACAGAACCTGACCTAGATTATACTAAATAGGAACTAAAGTATTCCATCCAGCTTCCAACTGAGATTGTGTATATGGGTAAATGGTTACTTAAAGTGTGTACATTTGTGTGTGTATTTTACTTCATAATATTTACAGTTATTTTCAGAGTTTCTATTGTAAGAGTATTAAATTCAAATAAAAGATCAGTTATTTCAGTGGAGTAGAAAAAACTTCATTCACATACATATTGCTATAAGTTTCATAAATTGTAAAAATTAGGCATCATACCTGACAAAATATTTGCTCTAATTTTCAAATTATTAAAAAGTAAGTGAACTATGCAGGAAGATGATTTGGCTAAGGAGGGGCTGGACAAGTGGTTCAAATATGTGGTGTGCACGCATTTTTTGGTAAAATGAAACAGACTGAATAAAACTGTAAATACAGAGGCTGTAGCATATAGCTGTTGAGAATGTAAGCTTGGAAATCAGATTGCTTAGATTTGAATTATGGTTCAAAAACAAACCTACCATATGTGAAACCTTAGATAGGTCATTTAAACTCTCTAACTCTTAATTTCTGAATCTGGAAAATGGAGATAATAGTACCTATTTCTTAGAGTTGATTTGAGGACTAAATGTATAAATAGATATGAAGAGAATAGTAGGCTTTTTTTTTTGTAAGTTAGTTTTGTTTTGCTCCCTATCACGTGGGTCTCAAAGTTTGACTGTATTTTCCAGGCCACCTGATCAGTGTCCTGACTAGCTTTCTAACTTTGGCCCATGAAATGGTAAAAAGGAGTTAATTTGTAAATGTGCATTCTGTGATTTGGTTAGCATGTGTATGAATTTTTGATAGCTGTATACTAATATTTTAAAGCTTAAAATGGCATACATTTATTATGTTAACAATTTCCATAGGTCAGGAGTCCAGGCATGGCTTAGCTCAGTATCTTACAAGGCTACAATCAAAATATTGGCTAGACTGCATTTTCCTTTGGAGTTCAGGGTCTTCCAAACTTACTGGGCTTTGGCCAAATCCATTTCATTGCTTTTATAGGACTGAGATCCACAGGTCCTAGAGGTTATCCACAGTTCTCATCGATGTGGCCCTCTCCATATACAGTTCACATAATAGTAGCTTGCATCTTTAAAATTAGTAGGAGAGTTTCTACTAATTGTTAGAAAAATAGAGTTACATATCTATGTATGTGTATACATATTAGCATAACCATTGAAATAACATCCCATAACCTTTGCCAGATTCTGTTAGAAGCGAGTCATAGTCTGCCTGCATGTAAGGGGAGGGACTTATATAGGGCATGAACCTGGGGACCACCCTTAAGTTTATCTGCCACAGCATGTTAAATTTCTTAATTTAAAATTAATTTAACCTAGCATTTTAGTTTTTTTTTAAATTATGTAAGATTTAATAAAGAAGTAATATTGTCACTAAGTGTAAAACTTTATTCTCAGTTCTGCTTATAGTATAAGTTTCAACAGGCCATTCCTCTCTGCCTAATACTGATCCATTATTTTAAGCTGGCTAACCACCAGACTAAAACAGCATGTCCTGGTATTTAATATTCTCTGACAAAACCCTAGTATCCAACATTTTCTCCGCATTACACTGATATGTATACCTTGAACTTGTTTTATACTTGCCCACATCTTTGTCAGTGTATATCCTGTTGTTTCTTTTCCCTTGTCTTCTGTAAATGTAAAGCACATTTACATCTCTGCCTCTTCATTACACTTGTCCTGTTTCTCTCCTCCTTTTTAGCCAACTCAGGACTTTTCCTGATAGTATCATGTGTGTATCAGCTGTAGCCTTGCATATAATCATATCTTAAGAAACATTCACTAAATATTTGAAAAGTGAAAGTGAAAGTTAACTCAGTCATGACTATTTGTTTTTTTTATTTTTTATTTTATTATTATTTTTTTTTCCATTTATTTTAATTAGTTGGAGGCTAATTACTTTACAACATTGCAGTGGTTTTTGTCATACATTGAAATGAATTAGCCATGGATTTACATGTATTCCCCATCCCGGTCCCCCCTCCCACCTCCCTCTCCACCCGATCCCTCTGGGTCTTCCCAGTGCACCAGGCCCGAGCACTTGTCTCATGCATCCAACCTGGGCTGGTGATCTGTTTCACCCTAGATAATATACATGTTTCGATGCTGTTCTCTTGAAACATCCTACCCTCGCCTTCTCCCACAGAGTCCACAAGTCTGTTCTATACATCTGAGTCTCTTTTTCTGTTTTGCATTATAGGGTTATTGTTACCATCTTTCTAAATTCCATATATATGTGTTAGTATACTGTAGTGGTCTTTATCTTTCTGGCTTACTTCGCTCTATATAATGGGCTCCAGTTTCATCCATCTCATTAGAACTGATTCAAATGAATTCTTTTTAATGGCTGAGTAATATTCCATGATGTATATGTACCACAGCTTCCTCATCCATTCGATGACTATTTGTGACACCATGAACTGTATAGCTCTCCCAGGCTCCTCTGATCATGAAATTTCCCAGGCAAGAAGGGAAGCTCAAATATATGAAATACCTCCTTAATTCAGAACAGTGGTCTGTTTGAGAATCATATTTTAAAGGGTGGTTTTTATAAATTATCTGCTCTGACACTGACTCAGTAATCTGAAGTGTATCTCAATTAACCCTTAAACGACCTTTAGGAATCCAGTACAACTTTGTTTGAAACTGATTGCACATGGGAAGAATGTGAATCTTGGGGTCCAGAGGGTGAGCTGTGATGGGCAGCATATTAGATGGTCCGTAATGATCACCATCTCCTGGTTTTCATACAACTGTATTTTTCCCTCCCACATGTACCTTGTTTCTTGTGGCCAGTTGACTAGAATATGGTACAAGTAATAATATATTGCTTTTCAGATTGGGTTATACAAGATATTATGACATCTGTTTTGGGTGTTCTTTCTTGTTTCCATTTTT